AGAGCTAGAGAGCGAGAGAGAGATTGGTTTGTTTAGTAACCTGACGTCTGGTAGAACTGGTACGTGGCAGAGCACAGCCTAGAACCCAACTTTTCTAACTCCTACCAGACTCTATTTGTAAGCACAATTTACCCGCATGGATCCGGCCTGGGCACTCATGATCCGTGAGTGAGCACAGGAGCATTCTCCCGCCTTCCAGAAAACATTCACTGGGAAGAGGCGGGAAGCGTGTTTGTGAACGGCCCTGCTCTGCCTCCCTGTTTCCATCTAGCCCCTCTGCGTGGTGGCCAGCGCAGCACCTCTGCCCCACGCTGGTGCAGACCTGGGACTCGGAGGGGAATGGACACTGAAGGAGCCCGTGGAAGCAGCGGTCCTGGCAAGGCCACGGGCCGGACACGCTGGCCACGCTCTGCCATGGGCTGGAGCGGAGGCTGGGAGGGGTAGCAGCCGGCTGGTCCCGCCCATAGGCGGGGTCTGCTGCCTCACAGTGTTGGCCATATGGCACTCTGAAGAAATCTCATTCTGTTGCCAACGTTGAAAACCAGGATATTTCACATTTAAACCTGATTTCCACTTTTTCTTCCCAAATGGGAGACCAGGTAACCCTGACGCACCTCTGAGCATGGAAAAGAGAAACTGGACGCAAGCAGTGGGCACCCCTTTACAGAATACATTCACCCCGTTCCTCCCCACCGGCTCATTTCCCTCATTTCCAGGCTGCCCACGGCCCTCGGCGACCCCTGGTTGAAAAGGTTAAGCTGATATAGATTGCAAAGCCAGTCATTATCAGACTTTCCCCAAAACATCCGGGTAAGGAAACATTTCCGGGAACATCCTCACAGCTGAGATAGAAGGTAAAGCCGATGAGACCAACAAGATTGAGAAATGGAAAAACCCAGTTTGGGCCTATTTGGATTTCTGCTCTAGAACCCATTTTTTGCTTAGAAAATAAAATATGTTCACTCGTGTCATTTCATTTCTTCCTTCCAACAACCCTGCAAGGAAGGAACTACTCTCAGGTAAACTGAGGCTGTTCTCCAACCCAGGCCATCCAACAGGAACGCAACATCATTGGGAACTGGACGCAGGCCTGTCCAGCTTTCGAGGCCGAGCTTCAGGAATAACAGAGGACGCTTTGGGAATCCTCGAGGCTCGTTTCCACCCCAGGGCCTTGGCACTCCTGCCCCCGCTACTTTGAAAACATCCAGCTCTTCACTTCACTGGCATCATTTCCGCAGAGAGAGTTCCCTGTCACCTGATTTAAAGCCACAGGTGCGTGTGCACCAATCACACTCTAAGCCCCTGCCCCGCACAGGGAGGCCCAGGGACCTGTGGTCTCAGCACCCCCCGCCCCTCCCGGCCGTGCTGAGTCAGAGCCGCACGTTCACAGCATCCCCGAGGGACTGGTGCTACAAGTGTAAAAGCACTGATGTGCGGGAGGGGGTCCTGTCCAGCGGGTATAAAATGTAAGTCGCCAGTGCACCTTTAAATTTCCTAGCAGCCGCCCTGACAGAGGCACAAAGACAGCCTTGCGGTTTGCCATCTCCCCATCCCCGTGAAAGGCCAGTTCCAGAACCAACGGGGCCCACATTATCCCCAGGACCAGAATCGGAACTGGAACACAGAAAATACCGATAAAAGTTGCGGAACACAAGAAGGAAGATGGTCTTCCAGTGCTTTCTGTGTGGCCATGCGGGGCAGAGGGAGCTCTGCGGTGGGGCAGACGCTGCCAGCTCACGGCGGGCAGCTCCCGGGGTCCCTCCCAGAAACCCTGGGCAAGGCGTGTGCCCTCCCAGCCACCCGTGGACCAGGAGTGTCTCAGCCACACTCAGCCTCCTCATGACGCTCCAATGTGACCACAGTCTCTCCAGCGCCAGCCCCCACAATCACAGCGCCGGGCCTCCTTCCCTCTCTCCCCAGACGCCATGTGGCAATGACGCCGTCACCACTGTCCTCCGGAAGCTGGCGGACTACAGCAACCCTCCCCCGAGGGGTGTTCCGGGCCAGTGGGCCGGGCGTCAACTGCTGGCCGTGAGGACAGCCTGAACTCCCGCAGGGTCACTGCCCATCGCCCGGGCTGAGTGGCTTCCAAAGGCTGGCACGCGGCCACGGTGGCTGCACAGTCTAATGGGCGGGAGGCTGCGCTCTCCTCACTTGGATGGGTTCTGCGGTGGCCGCCCGGCCACAGGGCCCGCCCTTACAACATGCAAGGCCCTGCCCATTCAGCTCCCAGCTCCTGTCAGAGCAGGTGAGGGCTGGGACTCGGCCCTTCATTCTGGGGCAGGCGTGGAGGTGTAGCCTGCCCCGCCCTCACTGACCGCGGGCCTTGCTGTCCAGGAGGGAGCCAGCTCTGCTGCAGCCGGAACACGCCCTAATCCAGGAGGCTACTGGGGCCTGGAAATCGGAGGCACATGTTCTAATCCCAAATGTGTTTTTAAATCACATTAGATCAACAGCACGGGAGGAAGCAAAACCCGGATTTAGCCACCACTGGAGTGGCTGGGAGAAGGCGCAGCTGCTGGCTGCTGGGCTGCCCCCGAAGGCCCAGGCCACCCTGCTGGGAGCAGCCAGGAAACAAGCACCAGAGACATTGCAGAATTGGTGGGCCCTGGGAGGCACACTGAACAGAAAAAGAAGTGCATGGGGGGAGGGGAGGAAGGACCTTGAATTCACCTGGAGCTGTGCCATCAGGTGGCAGAAGAGGAAGGTTCCGGTGAGTGTTGGCACTCCAGGGCAAGTGGAACCTCCAGAGGCGGGGCCACACCAGCGACAGAGAGTGAGGTGTCTGTCCGGCCTGAATCAGTGCCATGGCCTCCTCTCTACAAGCCAGTGAGGATGCCCGGCCCGCCTCTCCCACGCACAGAGGCAGGAGCCCTGGACGGAGCTCAGGAAAATCCCGGGGCCACAGAGCACCGCCGGCCCTGGTAAGGCTAGAGACATGCCAGTCAGCAGGGCACCTGTGCTTCTGTGGGTGCAAGGGGTTCTGGGAGTCCGCTCGGCTAAGATTCCCTCCGTGTTTGACAGACTCTTCTCCAGCACTTCCGGTCACACCTCAGCAATACAGGGACCCTCCACCCAGACAGCCGGGTGGGACTGAGGACACAGACATCACGTGGTCCTCCACTTCCAGCCACATCTCTGCCATGTAGCAGCTGGAAGGGGAGCCCCAAATACCACAGCCAGGTCCCCACAGCGAGGCAGTGCATGTGCCTCCTTTTCCCGCCTCGGCGTAAAACATCGGAAAACCATCTTCTGTCCCCTCAGTCAGAAAATTGCCCGCGGGCTTCCTGACTCGCATCCCACCACACACTCTGCACCACCCTGAAAGCATCTCGTCAGATCCCTGCTTCTGTCTCCAGCTGCTGTGCTTCCCAAAGATCTGATCCTTAGGCCGCCCTCTCCGGAGAGGGCATTTGACACTTCTCACAAGATACACAGCTTTACAATCAGTAGTGTGTGTGGGGGGGGAGGGAGGACAGTGGGGGGAGGGGGTACCAGCTACCCTCACAAGACCAAAACTGCCCCACAGAAACAGCTAGAACCTCCTGCAACCATCAGATAACCGAACCCTCCCCAGACAGCGCGCCCCTCCCTCCTCCAGGGTTGCATTCATGATCCGAACACCTTTTTAATGATAACTGCAATGTTCTTCGCGGTACTGATTTTCCAGTTAAATTGGGCACTTGCTGTTTTGTGTTTTGATAGGAAGGGGCTGTTTGAAGCCTCCTGAAAATGTTGCAATTAGTTCTCTCTTTTGAAACAAGCAGGACATTAACAGACACATTTGCTATTTCCATTTATGTGCTGGAATGTTTATGCCTAAGTGTCCTCTCTCCAGCTTTCCAAGTACAAAGCATATTTTAAAAATAGGAGGGGGGGGAATCAATCATACATTTTTTATATATTCCTGAAGTTGTTATTTCTAAAACTTTCCCAGGCTGTAATTTAAACTGAGAACGCCATCCCTTCAACAGGAAAACAACTTGTTAGGAAACAATCCTGGTTTTACCTATTGGCTCTGTTAGGATGATAACATCACTTTGGCTGACACCGCCAGTGTTTCCCTTTGACAATTGCAATTAATTACGGAGATGCAACAGAGATGGGGCCAGCCATCCAAATCCGTTTTCGGAGGAGATAAAACGTGGGAAGGGGGGAAAGAGAACAGCAAAGGAGGCTTGCTTGTGGGCATCCGTGCCAGTGCTGCTTTAAATGTTATGGCTGGCAAGAAAGCTGGGCATTCATTTATGTTACCTGCGCTCAACTTTCTAGCCCCCTCCTCCCCTCTCCTCTCCCTCTCCATCTCCCCCATCCCTGCCCTCCCGCTGGCAGAGGGAGGAACAGGAGGGGGTGGAAGCCCACAATCCTGGGAAGGGTTTGGGTGCAGGCATCAGCACCCAGGGCACCTCTGGCACCTGGTCAGCGGTGCTACGGAGGCAACCCAACCCAGTGTTCATTCGACCAAGGGGACAGAAAGTTCTGGAGACAGGGGACATCCTAGGTCTTCGCTAGAAAGCCCAAACTCGCCAGCACCAGCTTTTTAACTGTTCCCTGTTCATTTTGCTCTAACCTGAAAATACTTAAGTTGGATTTCAGCCACGCAAATGCGTTCGAGGGCGATTCTGAGAGATTCCCGGGGATCTCAAAGCCCTTTGGCCAACCTGGCTGCCCGGACTCAGTCCTCGGCGTCCCCAACGGGAGCGCAGAGCCCCCCAAGAGCCTGCGGAAGGAACGCGGAGGGCACCAGGGCCGGGAACTCCCAGGCGTGGAGCTGCGCAGGTTCAGGAAGCAGTTGGCTGGACCAGCAGCTCAGGAGGCAGAGCCGCCGCCACCTCCTCCCCCGCCCCGGCCGGCCCGGCCCTCCCCGGCCGGCCCCAGCCCTCCCGCCGCGCCGGGCGCCCCGCCAGCGCTCCAGAGCCTCCCTCCGCGGGCGCGGGGCGCGGGCCCTCGGGACGGCGCCGCGACTTCCCTCCGGTCTCCCCGCCGCCCGCCGGTCCTACCTGTACCACTCCAAGCCCTTCTCGTAGTTCCTGTCGAAGAAGTGCGGCTCCACGCCCACCGCCCGCACGTCCGGGTGCGCGCGGATCGCCTCCAGCAGCGCGCGGGTCCCCCCTTTCTTGACCCCGATGATCAGCGCCTGGGGCAGCTTCTTCTCCCCGTAGTCCGGGGTGCTGGCGGCGCCGCCCGGCTCGCCGCTCCCGTTGGCCGCCCTCCGGCCCGCGAGCTCCTCCTCGGCGGTGCTGGGCTCGGGCGCGTCCCTCTCCGGCAGGTCCCTCCCGGGCAGCTCGCCCCGCGCCGCGGTCACCTCGCTGGGGTCCGGCGGGGGCCGCAGCCAGGCGTCCCGGGCGCCGCCGCCGCCGCTCGCCAGCCCCCAGCCGTCGGCCCCGGGGGCGGCGGGCCGCTCGGGAGGCTCGGTGGGCTCCGCGCGGCTCGCGTTGTCCGGCGGCGGCGCGGGGGCGCCGAGGCGCGCGGGGGACGGCGGCGAGGGCGGCGGCGGGCTCGGCGGGGGCGCGGCGGCGGCGCCCGGCGGCTCCCGCAGCGCCAGCGGGACCTGCAGGGAGCCCGAGCCGCCCAGGAGGCTGTAGCACAGGTAGGTGACGGACAGGGACAAGGTGCACATGAACAGCAGCTTGCGCGCCGGCGGCCCCTTAGCCGAGGCGCCGGGCGGCGGCGGCGCGGCCAGAGGCGGAGGCGGCGGCGGCGGCGGAGGAGGGACGGGCCACGGGGCCATCGCGGCTCCCGGCTCGCGGCGGCGGCGGCCCCCGGCGCTGCCCGGACATGGTTTCAGCCGCCGCCCCCGCCGCCGCCGCCGCCGCCGCCCAGCCGCCCCGGCTGCATGGAGCGACGCCGCTGCGCCCCCGGCCCTGGCCGCCGTCCCGCTGCGCCCGGGGCCAGCCCGGCCGCATGGCCCCCTTCCCGGCTCGGCCCGCGGAGTCCGGGCGGCCCCCGGCGCCCCCCCTCAGCCTCTGGCCAGGGGACCGAGGGGGGCGCGCGGGCCCGGCTGCACCTGCTCCGCCCGCAGCGCCTCTGTCTCCAGGCTCGGCCGCGGCTCCTGCTCCAGCCTCCGCCGCCGCCGCCGCGCGCTGGTGCGGCCCCGAGTTCCTTCCCGCTGCTAACTTTCTGCCGGAGAGCGAGCGGAGCGGAGGGAGGGAGGCCGGGCGCGCCCCCGCCGCCGGGGAGGGGTGTGCGCCGCGCGCGCCTGCGGAGGGGGCGCGGAGCGGAGGCGAGCGCAGGGCTGGGGCGCCGGGAAGCGGAGATCCTGTGCCCCCCGCACACACTGGAGGTGTCCCCCGCCCAGCCCGTGGTTTCCCTCTTCCTGGGAGCCTGGGACGCCGCGTTCTCCATCCTCTCCCAGTACTCTAGGGAGGTAAAGCCCGCCGCCCGCCACGCGCCACCGGCGCCAGGCACCGGGAAGCACCGGGCCAGGGGCTAGTGAGCTCGGCTTCCCTTTGCCCTGGGACCCCAGGCAAACTCTGCGGCCCGGACCCGCCCTTCTCTCCCAGGATACCCTCCTGTCTGGGCCCAGGAGCGATTTCTTCTCCATAGCAGCTTCCCCATCCCGATTTCCATCTCTCCAGCCTCCCCATCTTAGCTGGGAGCTCCTGGTGGGTGGAGCTTTGACACAAACCCCCAGGTTTTCCTGCCCCAAACCTTTGCCTCTGTCCTGCCACCAGGTGATGCTTTCTGCCCCCTCCTCAATCACAGTCGTGCCAGGGTCCTTTGGGAACGTTGCCACTAAAGGAATTCAGATTTTTCTGGACTGAAATAGCCTGAGACCGTCCTTCATTTATACACCTAATAAACAAACAAGCTGGGCGACTCTGCTTCCTGGAGACAGGGCTGGCCCTGGATCCCCCACCCCCAACCTCCACCCCCAACCAACCCCCAACCCTACCCCCAACCCCACCCGGCCTGTCCCGCCCAGGGCCTGGCCCTGAGAGTCCCAGGTATCCCGCTGGCCACAGCTGGGCGCCTGGTGGGTCTGGTGTGGTGTGTTTGATCACATAATAGATACAACCGCTGAAAGAAAATGTATATACTGTCTAAATATTAACTAGATACCTAGTGTCAAAGAGGAAAAAGAAATGTTAATCAAATACGATGAAGAACAGGGACTTTTCCAGATCGAACAAAAGCTCACTGCTGCTCTCAGCTGGACAGTCTCTCTCCTTCGCCGCTGCAGCTCCAGTTCAGATAAAGATTATTCCCTCGTAATGCATCTTTATGGAGCACCGGGGCTCCACACGCAGGGGCTGGTGTCCCGTAAATCACCCGGGGACCGGGGGTGCATTTTCCAGCTCACACAGCCGCATTGCTGTGCTGTTCCTGGGCAGGGGCCCCTGCAGCTGATGGACGCAGCTCACCCATCCCTCTTTCCAGCCCAGCCCAGCCCAGCGTAGGGAGGTCAGCCAGGAGGCCACTGCCAGGGTCCCTCACTCTTGCAAGGCCAAGCCCAGGGCCCACCTACACCAGCAGCACCCACCCTCACTGCCCACCCTCTCAGCCATCCTAAGAACCTGTTCCAAGATCTAGTTTCACGAAAGATGTGCTTTCAGATTTGGAAAGATTTGGACAAAGTGGTATTAAAATTTAGCCCAGAGGTGGCAAATGGAGAGCTGAATGTGGCCAGCACAGTGATATGAAGAAATGTAAAACAGTGGCAACATTTTAAGATTGAGGGCTTTCCCCAAAAATATCTGGATACCAGGTTTCTGTTGAAACAGCACATCTGGCAACTCTGGGCCCCTCGCCTGAGCTGAGAAGCCAGGCAGGTGGGGCGTTTGCCCGGTCCTCTTGGTGCCACCCCTGAAGGGTACCCTGCATGCGTCTTACTGGCCTGGAGGCTGCTCGGGGGAAATCTCCCACAACCCTTTCGCCCGCTGGTCCCCAAGCAGTGACACTGGAATAAGAGGCTCCAGCAGGAAGAGAACCGTTGCTGGGCTGTTAGGCCTGCAGCTGCTGGGAAGAGTCAGTGTGGGGAGGCGAGCTTCTCTCAGGCTGGTCCGACTCCATCTCCTCTGCTCTGGATCCAGGATTGTCCTGGGAGCAGTTCTTTCGGGCCCTGTGATGGGAAGTCGGAGCTGTCTCATAGGGAGAACTCAGACTCTGCAATCCCTGGGTCTGGAGACCAGAGTGAAGGGCTTTTCTGTTCCCACAGCATCACCCATGCCCAGTCAGACCCGCTGAGCTTTACAATATTCCCCCGGTGTGTCTAGGCCTCCAGCTTGCCTCCTTTCTACAGACCCCGGAGCTAGGGTGCCCTCTCTGACCCATGAACCGCCTGCCCTGCCCATAGGCTCGATCCCCAATAGGGGGCGTGCAGGAGGCAGCTGATCACTAATTCTCTCCCATCATTGATGTTTCTATTTCCCTCTCCATTCCTCTCTCTGAAATCAATAAAAACATTAAAATTTAAAAAAAAAAGAATGAAATTGGCTTACATTTCATAAGCAAAATACCAGGCCCGGTGCCTGACACACAGTGGTCACCAATAATTATTTGAATCTAAATACTGGCTCCCGACATGCCTGCTCCCAGTAAACCTTCTCCTCAGAACATGCGTGTGCACCCTTCTGTCTTCTGTCCCACCAGCCGGCGTGGGAGCTGGGCTTCGCTTCCCTGAGCTGCCAGTAGCATTCAGCGCGCCAAGTCGAATGCCTTCTCCATTTTTCTAAGCAACAGAAATGAACTCTGGCTAATTTCAGTCCCACAGGACGGTCTCCCCTCAGCTGCCAGGCGCCTGCTCCGTCATCACCTGTGACCGGCTGGCTCTAAGTCAGAGGGCCCCAGGATCCCTCCTTGGGTTCCGTCACTTTGCTGGAACGACTCCCACAACTCAGAGCAGCGCTTTGCTCTCTAGATCACCAGTTGTTAGGAAAGGATGTGACCCAGGAGCAGCCGTGGGAGATGCGGGAGCGGGTGCAGGGACACGCGCGAAGCTTCCATGCGTTTCCAGGTGCCTCCCTGAACCCTATGCTCACCAACCTGGCAGCCTCAGAACCCCGTGTGTGGTGTATGTGTATCTGACTGTCTGTTTTGTGGAGAGTTGTTGCATATCCAGGGCTGATTAAATCTTTAGCCGTTGGCGGTAGATTAAACCTCCAGTCCCTCCTCTCCCTGATGGTTGGGATGTGGACTGCTAAAAGTTCCAACCCTCGAATTATGTTTCCAGGGTTGGGTCCCCACCTCAGTTATCGAAGGGCTTTCCAGAAGTCACCTCAATAACAAAAACAGTTACTGCTCTCATCACAGAATGTCCCAAGGGTTTCAGGAGCTCTGTGCCAGGAATGGGTCCAAGACTGAAAATAGATTACTTTTTTTTTTTTTCCAGAACGAAAGACAGAAACATTAATGATGAGCGAGAATCATTGAACAGCTGCCTCCTGCACACCCCAACTGGGGATGGATCCCAAACCCCTGGCATGTGCCCTGTCTGGGAATCCCATCACCTCCTGGTATGATGCCCAACCACTGAGCCCTGCCATCTGGGCCAAACATACATTTCTTATTGTAAGTCACCATTTCACCGTTTACCCCTGGTCTTCTCACAGGGTCCCTGGGAGGAGACAGTCACAGAGGTCAGAAGGCACTGGCATGTGACCAGAATCCCATTCAGTCACCATTAACCAGCCGGCCCAGCCTCTTGTCACATGAAAATACAGCGCAGGGCAAGGCCACTCAGGTTTGCAGGCTGCCACCCGATCTCTCCGGTCCCCAAAGCAGGGGGAGTCTCAGCCGCACATGCCCCTCTTCCAGGGGGACCTGCTCTGAGGAGCCAGGAGGCAATACCACCTCGCTCTGAGCCTTTGTCAGGTGTTAGTGTTGGATCTTCCCCATGGCAAAGCCCAGCCATGTGCTCCTTCCTCACCCTTCTCCTCACGTAGTCCCAAACTCTCACCCCTTTGGAAGGCACTGGGGTTCGCTACGGTGCTGGCCTGGGCCGCAGGCAGCAGTGCTGGTCTAGCAAGTGCCTCCCTCCATCCACGCTGATTCACATGTGGTGAGAGGACACAGGTGCAGACCTGCAGGGCCAGCTTCACCACCAGGCAGAGCAGCTGCACTCACTGCTGGCCCCAGTGCTGGCAGGGTGAAGGCACCCCCACCCCTCTCCACCCCTGCTCAGTCAGGCCCTTGGGAACTATGACAGCTCCCAGCTCAGGAGCCATCCCTGTTCGCAGCCCTGGTCCTGTGATCACTGCATCAAGGAGGGGAAATGTAGGCAACATGAGAAGAAGAGGAAAAAGTATAGTCATTACTGTCCTCCATTGGCAAGTACTGTGATCATATCAGCACCCTTCCCACAGCCCCTTTCCCAGATCCACAAAAACAAACAAACAAACAAAAAACAAAACAGAAAGACAACCAGTGGGACTCCTGCAGCCCCACTCATGTTCACACAGAGTGTGAGCTCACACTCGGGAAGGTGTTCATGTTTTATTTTTATTAGTTGTCAGTGGCTTAGTTGCTATTATTGCTTTTGCTGATTCATAAAAGCCTCTTAAGATATTAAGGATATCAGCTTTTCCCCTCTATCATATATCTTCCAATTACTGAGTTACCAGCTTGTCTTTTTTTAATATATATTTTATTGATTTTTTACAGAGAGGAAGGGAGAGGGATAGAAACTTAGAAACATCGATGAGAAAGAAACATCCATCAGCTGCCTCCTGCACACCTCCCACTGGGGATTTGCCCCCAACCAAGATACATGCCCTTGACCAGAATCAAACC